GCTGTTGGTTAACGAACGATCAATGAACATTTATCTGTGAGGAATTGACTACAACAAAACAACAGGTTAGTGTCAGTGTTAAGAGGCTAGAGTTTTACCAACGGAGGACAAACTCTTGATATCTCCTAGCCTACCCAGAACAACTGGTTGATTATGTCAAACTGGCATAACATACATAGAATGACTAGAATACCCTCAAACATAATTTGCGGAAAAACGGCCTTTTCTAGGGGGTATGAGGCATGCCAATAAATTTTTAATTTTGAGTTCACAAAGTTATGAAATGACCTACGATGGTCTGCTCTGAATAAGAAAATATTTGCACGATGAGGCAGAGGGTCGAATTCGAATGGAAAGCAAACGACAATTAAGCACGCTACCAGAACAACTGCCATGTGGAATGCTATGAAAATCGAAATGCGTGGAAAGGCATATGCAAGCCAGTGCCTGCCGAGGGGTACCGGTCTAACGATCGAGCCCACTCTGTACAACTTAACTGTCCGGTAATTTGATGGGTAAGACCCGAAAGGAGGATAACAAGGGATCCTCAAAAGGGGAGCGACGGTTGCGAGTGCGCTTAATTGTTTATTGCAAGAGTTAGCCTGAACAAGGAAGGGGATAAACGAGAACATTTGGCTCAGCTAGTTTGATTTAGACATGAGGTTGCCAACAAAGAAATGGGAGACTTGGGTGGCCATTCCCGACCTAATAGCCATTGTTGCCTAAAAATATAAACAGACGACTGGCTGACGGCGGCTAGTAAGACAGAACTGGTTATCCCAGTCTCCCTGGTCTTAGACCGTAATCTCATGCATACATTACTAACCGCTGTGTGACTGACTGTGGGGCTCTAGATCGAGCCGAAAAAGAAAAATTAAATGAAAAGGTCTTTTAACCCGATTAGTGAAGGTACTTACAACATAAATGGGCCTATGACGAATAGACGCTCACCGAACAGGCTACGGCACACGATCGTTCCATTTTGTCTAGAGGCTCAGTCTAGGGCCTTTGCGGCCAGTTACCTAACGATAAATAGTATATATAGCTATGGTGATATTTACAAATACGAATGGCCAGACCAATCTCCTTTGTCTTTGTTGTTGCGAACTTATTTACATAATTCTGCAAATTCTTTAGTTATTGTGCGGACTTGACTGACAATGGGGCTGCTCGTTTTGATTATCTAGTCAAAGAGCTAAGCAGGACTGCTGTTTATATGTCCTGGAATATACTCAAAAGAAAAGTACGCATCAAGTCTCCGAATAAAACAATAAAACTAAAAGCAAAGCGTGTACACAGGAGACAAAGGCAAACTAATGAGCGACAGATTTCCTAATCTGAGGTACGAGCAGGATTAAGGATAAACATAAGGAAACTACGAGACAGATCCACCGACTAACCCGTGAGCTTGAGGATGGGAGGGCTAGAGGAGGTGAGGAGGATGTTCTGCGGCTTAATATCCATATGGACGATATTCTTTTGAAAGAGGTAATGAAGCGCAAATGCTGGAAGACAAAAGGAGCATAAGACAAAAAATGAACCTACCGAGTTGCTGGAGAAAGTACCGAATAACCCGTTCAGGTAAACTTTTTTTTGATCGAAGGAAGTGACTAAG